AGGAGGCTGTGGGCCCCCCGGAGCCGCACCCTTTCCCCGGGACCCCGAGGGGCGCGTCCACCCGCACCCCATTCGTCTGTTTGATCTTACAAGAGGCACCTCCACGTGAACTCAGACACAAACGCAGCCTCGAGCAGGGTGCCTCCCGTGCCCACATGTCGGTCTTCCTAAGCAGGTGGAACCGGCCGCCTGCCCGGGCCCCAGTCCCGAGCCCTTCCTCGGAGCAGTGAGGCGGGTGACTCCTGACTCGCAGTGCCCGCCGTGGGCAGGATGGCACACCCGGGAAGTGCCGGGTGGCGGTGACAGCGTCTCCAGATGGCACCGGAGCGGGGGTGGCTCCTGGGTTCCAGCAGGGGAGTGTGGCAGCTCCGGTCGGTACCGCCTGTCGTCCTCTGCCATTCATGGCTCCTAAAGTCCCCGCTGCCTGAAAGAACCGAGTGATTCTCTTCCTGGCGGGGTCCAGGTTGGAACAACTTGCTCTCAGTAATCCTTCCCAAGGCACCTTGACCGTGCTCCTTCCCTGCTCACAGCTTTCCGTGGCTTACTCTGTCGTCTAGGTAGAATAAACCCCCAGCCACACCGCATGCCCTAAGCCCTATATGTGGTGGCCCCCAGCCTCATTTTGTATTATTCTAACTGCATTCCCCTGGGGGCTTCTGCACTCTGCTGCTCTCGGCCTGAGGGCTCGGTAACCTCAGTTCAGTCTCTGCTCACATGCTGCCTCCTTAAAGAAGCCTTCGCGACCACCGTGTCTAAAGTAGCGGCTTTTTAAAATATATATATATATACTTTATTGATTTTTCACAGAGAAGAAGGGAAAGGTATAGAGAGTTAGAAACATGGATGAGAGAGAAACATCCATCAGCTGCCTCCTGCACACCCCCCACTGGGGATGTGCCTGCAACCAAGGTACATGCCCTTGACCAGAATCAAACCTGGGACCTTTCAGGCTGCAGGCCGATGCTCTATCCACTGAGCCAAACTGATTACGGCTAAAGCAGCGGCTTTAAATTCCACCTGTAGCCTGCTACTCGGTCCCTGGCTGAGTTTTAGTTTATTTGTTTGTCTGTCATCCCCACTGAAAGTCTTAAAAGTCAGGGACTTTTTCATGTTCACTGTAATACCAGTGTTTATTACAGAACCTGGCCAATAGTAGGTGCTCAATAAATTATTGAAAGCATGAACAGTAAACTATCAAATACTCTAGTCTCGGTGTCTTGGCGCTCTCCACTATTGTAGTTTTCTCAACAGCCTGCAACATTGGAGGCTTAAAGAGATTCTTGAGGAAGGAAGGAAGTTGGCACGAACATCAACTCTTTACCTCTACTTTTACTCTGTGTTCTTTTGGAAAAGAAAAAGGGAAAAAAAGGACAGTCCGACGGGGGTGCCATGGTTAAATGGGAGACTGCAGGTGAGCAATCTTCTGACATCACAGGGAAAAGCTGTAGCCTCCAACACACCAAGTCTTTAAAGCAACGCCATACCAACTGCGAGGGTGGCCTGTGCACAGCTATCTAGAACTGTGGAGCAACGTTTTAAATTAGCTCAAAGTTCACCACAGAGTTTTCCCTATTATCTTTTCAATCTGATCTGAGTGACCATTAACCCTGAGCTAATAAACATTATGTAAGGGATTAGGTAAATTGAGGTATGAATCATGCCACAATTTAAAAAAAATCTTTATTGACTTCAGAGAGGAAGGGAGAGGGAGAGAGAGAAACATCAACGATGAGAGAGAATCGTTGACGGCTGCCTCCTGCAGGATCGGAGATCGAGCCTGCAACCCGGGCATATGCCCTGACCGGGAATCCAACCGTGATCTCTTGGTTTATAGGTCGACACTCAACCACTGAGCCACCACAGCCGGGCCATGCCACCATTTTTTTAAAAAAAATT